TTAAAAGTTCTTAGAACTAATTAGTGAATTCAGCAAGGTCACAGAATACACGATCAATACAAATTAGTTATATTTCTTTTTTTTTTTTTTTTGAGATGGAGTCCCGTCTGTCACCCAGGGTTAGGAGTTGCAGTGGTATTGATCTCAGCTCAACTGCAACCTCTGCTCCCAGGTTCCAAGGCGGATTGCTTCTGTCTCAGCTCCAGAGTAGCCTGGGACTTCTACGGTGGTGGCACTCGCACCTGGTATTTTTTTATTTTTCATAGAGATGGGATTTGACTATATTTGGCCGGCTGTCTTGAACTCTGACCTTCGTGATCTGCCCATCCTCAGCCTCCCAAAAGTTGCTGGGATTACAGGCACCCGAGCCACCGTGCCCAGCCCAACATCAGTTATATTTACTATACACTCTAGCCATTAACCATAGGAAAACTAAATTAGAAACAAGTGCCATCATACAATTGCCTGAACAAAAATGGAAACCCTTTGGGTGTATATCTGAATAAAACATGTATAGGGCTTGTAACACTGAAACTACAAAATGCTAGGTGAAAGGAAAACACAGATCCAAAAGAAACGGAGACAGATATCCACTGGGGTCCTGAACTGTATCCCCACAAGGAATATGCTTAAAGTTGGTAAACCCTCAGGACCTGTGAATGTGAATCTTTGGAAATAGGAACTTTGCAAGATATAAACCTCAAGTTTTAGCAATGAGGGGTTTGTACTGGAAGGATGGTTCCCCTTAAACCAAAATGAACTTTCCGCCTATAAGAAAGGAGGAGAAGAAACAGAGACACACAGGGAGAAAGCACCATGTGGAACAACAAAGGCAGAGATTAGAGTGATGCAGCTGCAATCCAGTAATGACAAGGAATTGCTGGCCACCCCGCACAAAAGGTAGGAAGAGGGCAAACAAGAATCTACCTAAAAAGTCTCCAAGAGGGATCCCTGAGACACGGCCTTTGCCAATTACTTTGACTTGGGACTTTTGCCTCCAAAACTGTGCAGAAGAATAAATTCTGTTGTTTTAACCCACTTCAGTTTTATAGTCACTTTGTTAAACAGCTCTACGAAACTGATACTCCATACATGTTCAATGCGATTGGAAAGATTTCCAACCATAGTTTAAACAGAAATCCAGAGCCGGGCCGCGGGTGGCTCACGCCTCGTAATCCAGCCACTCTTGGGACGGCCGAGGCGGCGCCGGATCCAAAGTCAGGAGATCGAGACCACCGTGCGAACCCGTCTCTACCTAAAAATACAAAAATTAGCCGGAACGCGGGTTGTGGGCGCCTGTAGTCCCAGCTACCGGGAGGCTGAGCAGGAAATGGGCGTGAACCCGGGAGGCGGAGCTTGCAGTGAGCCGAGATCCGCCACTGCACTCTAGCCCTGGGCGACAGAGCGAGACTCCGTCCTTCAAAAAAAAAAAAAAAAAGAAAGTCAAGTTCTCCCAAAATTCCCAATATGTTAGGTTTAGCACAATTTATATCAAGATCCGAGAAAGATTATTTTTTATGAGTAAAGACATGATTATTCTAAAAGTTATGTGAAAAGGCAAAGGAACTAGAATATCTGCAATAGCTTTATTCTTTTGAAAAATAATGAAGTGAGAGGAATCAGTCTACCTGATCTCAAGACTTCTTATATAGATACAGTCATCAAGACCAAAGTGGATATACAGATGTCAAGTAAGCACATGAAAAGAAGTTCAATATTATTAGCCATTAGGAAATGCAAATCAAAGCACAATGAGATATCACTACACTCCAATTAGAAAGGCTAAAATAACAAATAGTGACAACACCAAACACTGGCTAAGATGCAGAGAAAAATCAGTCATTCCTACATTGCTGGTATAAAATGGTGCAGCCACTCTAGAGAACAGTTTTTGCATTTCCTTTTAAAACTAAACATGTTATTACTATATTATCCAGAAACTACACTTCTGAGCATTTATTCCAGAGAAATAAAAACATATGTTCACATAAATCCTGTAAAGAAATGTTTATAGCAGCTTTATCCACAATAGTGAAAAATAGAAAACAACTTACATGTCCTTCAGTGGGTAAATGGTTACACAAACTCTGATATATCCATATCATAGAGTACTACTCAGCAATCAAAAGGAAGAAACTCAGCAATTGACAGGAAGAAACTATTAATACACACAACTTGGATGAATCTATAATTATTCTGAGTGAAAAAAATGCAGTCTGAAAAGGTTACATACTGTATGATTCAATTTATAAAACAGTGAAATGATAAAATTATAGAAACTGAGAATAGAGCTGGGCACCAGGGTGTACAACTCTAATCCCAGCTACTTGGGATTGAGGTTGAGGCAGTGGGATTGCTTGAGCCCGGGAGTTTGAGACCAGCCTGGGTAATGTAGCAAGACTCTATCTCAAAAAAAAAAAAACCCACATACAACTAGTGTTTATTATACTGGACAGATGTGGAGAATAGATTAGAGGTGCCAGGGGTTAAATATGGGGAGAGGATGGTGAGGAGAGAGCAGGAAACGGGTATGGCTATAAATGGGCAACATGAGGGATCTTGGTTTTGATGGATCTGTTCTGTATCTTGACTGTATCAGTTCAGTATCTGGGCTGTGATATTGTACTATAGTTTCATAAGATGTTATCAGTGGAGAAAACTGAGCAACGGAAACGTAAGATCTCTCTCTTCTTACAACTACATGTGAATCCACAATGATCTCAAAATAAAAAGTTTAATTATAGAAACATACTATCATTAACATAATGGCTACCATTTATTGATGATAAAGCACCTCTACTCAATACAAAGGAGGTAGGTACATACATAACTCGTTTAAACTTCACAACAGACCTACAAGGTGGATGTTCTTAGCCCATGTTAAGGATAAGGAGTTCGAGCGCATTGACCCACACCTGTAATCCCAGCACTTTGGGAGGCCGAGGTGGGAGGGTCAGATCGCATGAGCCCAAGAGTTTGAAACCAGCCTAGGCACCATAGTGGGACCCTGTGTCTACAAAAAAACAGTGTTTTAAAGCTGGGCGTGGTGGTTCATGTTTATGGTCCCAGCTACTCAGGAAGCTGAGATGAGAGGATCGCTTGAACCCAGGAGGCTGAGGCTACAGTGAGCCGTGATCATGCCATTACCCTCCAGCCCAGGCCACAGAATGACACCACATCTAAAAAAAACAAACAAACAAAAAAAATGGGATAAAGAGAGACTCACTGACCCAGAAGCAGTGTGGATCTAGTGGCAGTAGAGTACGCTTTGGGAGGGTGAAATATGCAACCTGGCTGGACACCCAGTAAGCCTGAGTAGACAGAGAATGTCCATTTCCCCTTCTGCCCTTGACCTCCTTTGCTATTGGGTGTTCACCACACCTACTCTTGGAGTTGGCAGATAAGCATACCTGTTGACCACACTAAAGCATCTTTGGGTACCTGGTCCACATGAGTAGTGGACCTCTGAGTAATGGAGGGATCAAGTGACCACGGTCTTGTGGGTGAACAGATGAAGGCTCCCCTGGGAACACTTAGCTCTGCTGGCTTTGAGAGGCAGGAATCCCTTTTATGTCATGTGGAGGTTTGCTGCTTTTGTTCATCTCTTGCCATCTGGTGAAAGCAAAAAGTCCCGAAGAGGTGAAATGCTTTTCAAGCTTCAGGCAGCAGCAATCTATCACTTTCCAGGAGAACATGCCTGCAAATACATACAGCTACCGTTCCTCCCTGCCTGCCTCCCTCCCTCCCATGCCTCTATATCAGCTACTGTTCCTCCCTGCCTGCCTGCCTCCCTCCCATTCTTCCACATCATTTAATCTTCATGCAGCCCTGTGCACTTGATGTTATCATTATTCCCATTTTACAGAGGACAAAACTGAGGAATGGAAAGATTAGGCATTTTGCCCAGGATGCACAGAAAAGAGGTGGCTGTGGACTTTGAGTCCAGGTTTTCCTGACTCCAGATCCTGCTGATACTAATTTTCTGGTGCTGCTGTAACAAAAGAATATAAACTGGGTGGCTGAAACAACAGAAATTTATTCTCACACAGTTCTAGAGGCCAGAAATTCAATGTCAAGATGCCAGCAGGGTTGCCTTCTGGAGGCTCTGAAGGACAATCTGTTCCATGCCTCTCTCCCAGTCTCTGGTGGCTCCAGCAACCCTTGGCTTGTGTCTGCATCACTCCAATCTCTCCCTCCATCTTCATGTGACTTCCCTCTCCATGTGTCTCATTGGATTTAGGACTCACCTGAATCCAGGATGATTCGGATATTTGTCATTGGATTTAGGATATTTGTCATTGGATCGAGGACTCACCCGAATCCGGGATGATCTCATCTCGGGATCCTTACCTTAAATTATGTCTGCAAAGACCCTTAGTTTAAATAAGATCAGATTCAGAGGTCCTGGGTGGACGTCTTTTGTGGGACGCCGTTCAACTCACTACTGTGCTCCTAAGTCCATCCCAGCAGGCCATTCCGAAAATGCACACATGGATTCTTTCTCTCTCCTTGTTTTTGAGCTGGTCTGGCATGAAGAGAGGCAGTGCTGGTTCCAGCTGTGACCCGAGCTAAGATGCTGAAGGCTCCCTCTCACATTCTCTCTGGAGCTGTCAGACTGTTGATTCTTTAATAAACACTTGGGAGGAGAGGTGTTGGTTTGGGAGGGGTACTCTGGACACCTCTGCATGGGGTTTATCAGAATCAAAGAGGCACAGGGTGAGTGGCTGTCACCTGTGTCGTTTTCATTACACGGTCACCTTTCACTCTGGGGTCCAAGCAGTGGACAGGAATTCGACTGTAGAGGCTGTTCCTTCCACAGCTGGATGCAGCCCAACAGGGCTGATGAAGCAGGAGGGACTTTGGAAGGATCTGGTGGCTGAGGAAAGGGCAAGAGTTGGTGCAGGGGCTGGGGTGGGGGCCTTTCCTGCTCAGCCCACTCTTTCTGCTGTGTCTCTGCTTCCCTGCCTGTCCCTGACTCCTACCCTGTTTTCTCTCTGCAGGACCACATCCCTGTCCCTTACCAGCCAGACTCCAGCAGCAACCCCTCCTCCACGACGTCCTCCACGCCCTCCTCGCCAGCACCCCCTCTCCCTCCTAGTGCCACGCCGCCTTCTCCCCTACACCCTTCCCCGCAGTGCACACGGCAGCAGAAGAACTTCAACCTGCCAGGTACCTCCATGCTTGGGGAGATATGGGGTGTGCAGCATTGGAGGGGCAGAGATTAGGGAGGGGGTGGGTTCACGCCAGAGTCCTGATACAGCAAGTCTCTGCTGGAAGGTGACGGATTGATGACCAGAGAGGGGTAAGGAAGTATGAGGACTGACCCTTATCGTATCCTAAGCAATTACCCTATATCACTTATTTAATCTTTGGAACAGCCACAGGTAAGCATTATCAGCTCATTTTACAGATGAAGAAACAGAGGCTCAAAGGGGTGCAGGAACTCTTAGAGACTGTGTGTTTTGGCAAGCTACAACCCAGGGTCTTCGCCTAAGTCTGTCACAGAAGGGAACCATTGACTCTGGAGCTGACAGTTCTCTTATGAGCTAAATTGGTTAAAATTGGCAGCTAGATCCTGTGCTGGAGATCTTAGGGGCACACATCTGAGCAGGGCTGCATACTGAGTCTTAACCCAGATGTGAGGACAGGGCTGTCAATGAGCAGTCTGGTCTCCTGGAGTCAAGATCCAGGTGTATCACATTCTTGCTGTGTCTCACGTCTGAAAAGATGTAGTTGGACAAGATGATCTGGAAGGTTCCTCTAGCTCAGGAATTACAAGGCACCTAGGCTGTTGACCAGGGAGTATGCACTGGGCTATGAGATGATAGTAGAGAAGCCACTCATGGGACACTGTGGCTTCTTGACCTTCTTTGTCATTAGACCTAAGAGTGGGATATTTTTCTTCCTTCAGGTAGACCAGACCTAAGAATCTCCCCATCTATTCCAGGGTCCAGCCTAGCCCAGTTCCTGTGCTAGGGCCCTAAGAATGCTTCCAACTCAGCTGTATTTGTGGCACTGCAGCTGGCCTCAAGAAGAAGGCTGGTGGGACTGGCATGGCCAGTTGGAACCAGAGTCTACATCTGTGTTGTTCAATATGGTATCCGCTAGCCGTGTGCGGCTATTTACGTTTAAATGAATTAAATATAATTTAAAAATTAGCTTATTGGTTATACTAGCCACATTGCAAGGGCTCAGTAGCCACATGTGGCTGGTGGCTGCCATACTGAATGGCTCAGGTATAGAGCATTTCCATCATCACTGAAAGTTCCCTTGGTTACTCTGGTCTAGCTCCTGATTTCCTCCTGAGTCAACAAGCCTCCCACTATGAAAAAAAATCCTAGGTCCTTGGCCGCAGCTCACACCTCTAAGCCTAACTAGGCATGAGTGAATGGCCAGGAGGCAAATGGAGGCCCCGCCCCACACCTGGGCAGCACCCGCATGCAACCATCCATCTGAGGACAAGCCAATCACAGCACCTGCCCACACTGTTTTGATTTGGGCTACATTCACAGAGATGGCACATATTTTGAATTCTTGGAACTTTGGGTTTTTTGTTAAGTTCAAGTCTGAATTTAACAGCGTCATATCCGCCTTGTGTGGGGGCCACTCACCTGGCACCCACCAGGGACTGCCGTGTGAGTCACCAGCTGAATCCTCTTAGTAAGTGCCGCTGGTTCATTGCCCGGCATTTCCACAGACAGAAGGCCCCCACCGCCATCTCCAGGGTTGTTCATTTTTACTTCTTCAGAAAGGGATGAAAGGGAAAAGAAAAGACCCTTAGACTTCCCATGACCACCCACACTTAGGGGAAGTGGGCCTGATGCTTTCCTGTAGCCACTTCACTCCCTGGAGACACTGACTTCAGGAGTATTTTCTCTCAAATTGTTTGGCACTTGTTTATGGACCAAGGGAAGGGGAAGGGCCCGTTTTATGGGAGAACTGTGCACAAAGGCACCACAACTCTTGTCATCCCTTAAAGAATCTGCTGGCGTCTCCAGACAAGAGACCTGCCTAACCCGGAGTAATCAGGGTGTCCCTTAGCTCCTTCCTTCCCTCAGCCAGAGTCTTCAAGGAGGGGTGCCTGAAAATGTGTTGTTCTAGCATGCCACGTCATTCCCCGCGCCCCCCACTCCACGGCAGGTCATGACAAGGTCCTGGCCCTCTTTGGGGGCTGAGCTAAGGGGTCCTTTGGGTAAAAGCACTTCAGCATGGCAGTTAGAGTGTGGGCTCTGCAGCCAAGCTACTTAAGTTCAAATCTCAGCTTTACCACTTAATGTCTGTGTGACGTTGGGCAAATAACTCGCCTCTCTGGGCCTCAGTGTTCTCATCTGTAAGATGGAGATTGTAATAGTACCCACCTTAGATAATTGTTTTAGAAAGAAATGTCATAATACATGGACAAAGCTTAGCAGAGTGACAGTTTCATTGAAGACCTCAACAAATCTGGGCTCCTTGGATTGTTGTTAAACACAATAATAATAAAGTACAGTGGCTACCTTTATTTGCATTTCTCATTATCACTGTTAATTAATATGGGGGCCTAGACAGAATTGTAGAATAAAAGATGAAATCCCAATGTATCTTGCCATAGGAGTATGAACTGAAGTAAACATTTGGGGAAGGTAATTTGATATTTTCTGTTAAAGTTTTTTTTGTTGTTGTTGTTTTGAGATGGAGTCTCTCTCTGTTACCCAGGCTGGAGTGCAGTGGTGCGATCTCGGTTCACTGCAACCTCCACCTCCCGGGTTCGAGCAATTCTCCTGTCTCAGTCTCCTGAGTAGCTGGAACTAAAGGTGCACACCACCACGCCTGGCTAATATTTGTGTTTTTAGTAGAGGCGGGGTTTTACCATATTGGTAAGGCTCGCCTCAAACTCCTGACCTCAGGTGATCTACCCGCCTTGGCCTCCCAAAGTGCTGGGATTACAGGTGTGAGCCACCATGCCCAGCCCTGTTAAAGTTTTAAATGTGCATTTCTTTGACCTGTATATCACTTCTAGGAATGTATATACAGAAACACTTGCACTAGGTTGCAGATATCTGTGTGTAAGGACTTCATTGTAACAGTGAAAACTGAAATTAACCCAAATGCCCATCAAGAGTGGGCAGTGAATGGTTGATTACACACATATATCCATATAACCAAATATTCTGCAAACTTTCAAAGGATTGTAGTACTCTATGTAGATTTCTTGACATGGAAAGATATCTGTAATGTTTCTCAAGTAGAAAGTAAGTGATTTGCAAAGTCATCAGTATAATATTCTGTTTATTGTAAAATATTTACATACATGTATGTCTGTGTACCAGTGTGTGTATATGTGTTCGCATGTGCACAGTAAAGTCTGGAAGAACTTCATGGCAGCCATTGAGGAGAGGGACTTTATCTCATGCACTTACTTCTACCACGTATATGAGTGTGCATCCATTTTAGAATCGAATAATAAAATTCAGTGCTGAAATGGAAAACAAAATACAACCTTTGGAAGTACAGTTGGACATACCCTGTGTCTTAGGCAGTTTTAGCAAAACAGCCCCAGGGTCATGAGTACCTGTCCTGTTTGTACAAAGATCTGGCTGGCTGTCCCACTCTTGACTGGGAGCTTCTGTTAATGAAAAATGGAACTTAGCCGATGGGTCCCTGCCAGATGTTGAGTTTTCTGAAGGCTATTTAAGCTAAAGCTTAGGCATAACAATGTCCCCAGCACTGATTCATCTAGAACATTCTTGTCCAAAAGGGGGTGGGGGGTTGACCAGCCATTTAACTCATCTGTTAACCTCAGGACATGTGGTGAAAAGGCTGTTAGAACCCAAGCGTGGCGTGTGCAGCCTCGGTGGTATTTGTTACTGTGCACTGCCAGCTGCGTGGACCTCCTGTTAACCGCCTTTCCCTGAGTCCTGGGACCATGTTGGACATGGCCCAGTATAAGGTGATGTCAAGAGTGCTACATGGACAGACAGACCTGGGGTTGGATCCCAGCTTTGCTCTTTCCTAGCTGTGTGGCTTTGAGCATGGCACTGCCTCTGTTTAGGTCTGTTTCTCATCAATAACATGAGGCTAACAATTCAGAGCTGTGGTGGCAACCACCATGGCAAGATAAATGAAGAGGCTTTGGAAATGATTGTCTTATGGGTTTCTGAGGCTGGAGTGTTCAAATACATTTTTTCTTTGGAGCCACCTAGAGCCATCTTGAAACACACACACACAGACACACATACCCCCAACTCCAGGAAATGGCAAATTCTAATGGCTCAAAGGGAGAAGAAAGGAGGTGGAATCTGCCTTTGGTGGAGTTTGCAGGATTTCTGAGACCTCACCTGGGCCACTTGGACTCGTGGGAGTGTTTCCTCCCTTCCCCTTTCCATCAATCTCTCCCAAGCCTCTCTTTTACGCTCATCACTCTGTGCCATGATCTGGTTTACGTACTCATTTGTTAAGTGTCTGTCTCCTCCATCAGAATGCCAGCTGCATGAGACTAGGCAATGTGTCTTCATTCACCACTGCACACTCAAAGCCCGACACGTTGCCTGTGACTGAAGGCACTCATTAAGTGTTTGTTGAATGAATGAATGACCTGAATTTCATGCACTGCCCAGGGCTGCAGTTTTTTCTCTTCAAATTTTCTTCTTGACCCTCAGACTGTGTTCATCCGTTCATTTTGTTAACAGTATTTATGAAGCATCTACTGTGTACCAGCTACTGTACTAGGCACTAGGTTTGGAGCAGTGAACAAACCATATGTAGCCCCTGTATTCACTTCCTATTGTTGCTGTAACAAATGACCACATACTTAGTGGCTTAAAAGCACACAGATTTATTATCTTATGGTTCTAGACGCCAGATGTCCAAAACTGGCTTCACTGGGTTAAAAACCAAGATGTCAACAGGGTTGGTTTATTCTGGAAGGTCTCAGGGAGAATCCATCTCCTTGCCTTTTCCCAGCATCTAGGGGCTGCCCACATTACTGTGCTTGTGGCCCCTCCTCATTCTGGCCTCTGCTTCTGTGATCACATCTCCTTCTCTGACCCTGCCTCCCTCTTCTGAGGACCCTTGTGATGATGTCGAGCCCACCCGAATGATCTAGGATAATCTCCCCACCTCAAGATCCTTAAGTAATCTCATCCAAAGAGTCCTGTGTGCCATGTAATGAAATGGATTCACAATTTCCAGAGATTAGGACCTGAACATGCTGTGGGGGTAGGGGCAGGCATTATTCTGCCTACAATAGCTCCAGTTCTCATGAAAAGTATAGCTTAGTGAGAAAGAAAGGTGTCAACCAAATAAACATATGCATGAAAACAGGATTATAGATTGTGATGAAGGCTGTGATGGCCAAGAGTCTTTGCAAGAGTCCTTGAGCAAATGCAAGAGAACAGATTTAGGTTGGAGGGTCACTGGATGGCTGAGTTCTGCAGGTGGGGGAAGTAAGGCAAAGGCCCAGTCACAAGAAGGGGCCCAAGTGCCATAAACAAGGGAAAGTGGCCTCCAGAGAGACTCAGGGCTGCAGGGTCTGGGCCTAGCAGTATTTTAGATTTTATGTGAGACTCCATGGGTTGCAGTTGAAAGGTTTAGGCAGAGAACAACTTGACCTTTCTTCCTTCCTTCTAGAAGACCACTCTGGCTGCTGTCTTGGGAGGCTTCAGGGTAGGCATGGGGGCTCTGGAGGGGAGGCTCCTTCAAAGTGGCCTGCTTGTCTCTTTGACTTCATCTGCAACCTCCCAGGTCCTGAGTCATCTTGGATGCCAGAAAGCCAGGAGCCACTGGGCTCTCCTGAGCAGCCCACTCAAGGTCACCAGCTGTTCTTTAGAGCCACTTCTTGATGGTGTCTGTCATCAGCAGGAAGAACAGGGCTCCCAACAATGTCTTTCCTCCTCTTCTGGCCACGTGTTTCCCTTTCAGTCACCAGGAACGAGTTGTTCCATGGCACATGGGGAGGAGTCAAGGAGGGCGTTGGCTTCGGGTGTGGAGGCATTTGCTGGTGTCCCGTTGCCTGACACCTGTCCCTTCTCGGACTCTCTGAAGCTGCTCCTGCTCTCCATTGCCCAACAAGAACATAGCTGTCAGCAAACGTTTTCTACAGACACTGAATCCCCCATCACTGTCAGAGCTGGGGAGGGAAAAGATCAGCCAAGCCTCTTAAGAGCCTCGGGTAGTTTTCCTGTTTTAATTTTAGCCCCTTGTTGACTAATAAAATAGTTGCATGCAATGAAAAACTCATGTTATCTAACAGTAAAACGGTCCCTGAAATCATGGAGGGTGCTTTTCTTTTAAAGCTTTGCTCTGTGACCTTGAAGAAGTTGCTTCTTGCCCTGGACATCTCATTTTCCAGAATCAAAAATGCATCCATCTGGACTCCAACTATTTGATACAATCTGGAATTGGACTAAGCCCAAGATTTTTGCTGTTTCATCTATGATAAAGAGAGTTGATTAATTCAACAAATGTATGTTGCACGCTGACTGGTGCAAGGCACAGAACTAGGAGTTTGAGGTCCTGAGATAGTAGGATTTACTCCCTATTCTGAAGGAATCTATCAGTAAATTTCAACCTCAGGGAGAGTGTTCCGTCTGCTTCCCCAAGGCAAAACATTTAGTTAGCACTTGGAACTATGTGATTGTCTCTTAGCTATAAATCATTCTTGTCTATTAGTTAAGAGAGCTTAGAAATGTGTTTATTTATCTCAAAGCTAATACTAATTCGGCACCTTGAATACACTTTTATCTTGTAGTGATGGTCCTTGCCCTTTGAGGAAGGGACTGTTATTATCCTCATTTTACACATATGGGCAGTGAGACTTGGAGTCTCTACAAATAGCCAAAGGCAGAGCAAATATTTGACCATTCAGGATCAGCTTCTAGACTCTAGGCTCTGAGCTACTGTGCTAATATTTGATAAAACAATTCTAGTGGTGGCTTGTCCCTGAATGTCATCGAATTGTTTCTGGAAGTGGATTCACCAATACAGACTCATCTGACTATATCCCTGCCCTCTTCATTTACTTGAGGACACAAAGCTCTGTGTCCCCTGCCCCCAACACCCCTTGACCCCCTATTCCAGGCACTGTTCCCCAATGGAGTATTAGCATGTTAGAAACCTTTAAGTGTCCAAGACTCCTGGCCTCTGGCGAGTAGATTAGAAGTAAAAGGAATTGTCAGGGAACCAGCAGTGAAGTCCAGAAAATTTATTTTATGTAACTTTTTCCTAAATACAGAAGTTAATGCATACTTGTGGTAGGTAGAATAATTCCCAAAAGATATCCATGTCTTGATCTCAGAATCTGGGAAGATGCTGCTTTAAAGGACAGTAGGAACTTTGCACATGTAATTAAGTTATGGATCTTGAGATGAGACGATTATCTTAGCTTATCTGGGAAGTCCTTAAATATAATCACAAAGGTCCTTATCAGAGGGAAGCAAGAAGGTCAAAGGCAGAAGAAGGAGATGGCACAACAGAAGCAGAGGTTGGAGTGATGGAGCCATGAGCCAACAAATGCAGGCAGCCTCAAACAACTGGAAAAGACAAGGAATAGATTTTCCTGGAGCCCTCAGAAGGAACTAAGCTTGATTTCAGCCCTGTAAGACTTATTTCAGACTTTTGTCCTCCGGAACTGTAGGAGGATACATTTGTGTTGTTTTACTAAGTTTGTAGTAATTTGTTACATCCACAAAAAAAGAGAGAACTGGTACGATGCTCATTGCAGAAAATTAGGAAAGTACAGAAAAAGCATAAAGGATTTTTTAAGCCACTGTAATCATTCTGCCAGAAGGGGGAAAAATTAATATTTTGGATTATGGCTTTGCAGGCTTCTTCTGTGTGTGTGTGTGTAATTATGCATTTCACAAAAATGGTATTGTAGTCAGAATGTCTGTTTGAGTTGGAGCAGTCTGATTTTAGGGAGTGTGAGATATCAGATGGGAGGGTTGGCATGGATGTTTAGAGTTCTGGTTTCTTTACACATGTTTGCAGTCCTTTGTCTGCAGAAGTGTGAAAACTCTTGAAGGTGGGCAGAGAATGACCATGTGGTGGCCATAAGAGCTCAGTTTGGTCCGTGAAGGGACATCTCCTTGGGGACACTCACTCTGATGTTTTCTTTCTTTTGCAAGCATCCCACTACTACAAATACAAGCAGCAGTTCATCTTCCCAGGTGAGTTTCATGTGAGCTGGAAGCAGCCCCTTCTGAACAAGCCCTGCTGCGTTGCAGGAGTTGCTGGGATGAATGGAGGCAGATGTTGTGGGGGTGCCTAAGATCAAAGAGGGTGGTAGTGGAACCATCACACTCCAGGATAATGGCTGAACATGGAAGTGGAAAAGAAAGAGTGGGAAGTCCTAAGGGCACAGTGGGACCCAAGGAGGTCCCAAGGCGCCATGGAAAGGCCTGAGAGGGTGGAGTGCCGTGGAACAATGGGCAAGGGTGAGGAGGGGTCTAGAGCCATGTGGCAGGGAAGAGATGGTCATAGGGTCCTGAGCTGGGTACTGAGAAGATGTGAAACCAAGGGGCCTTATCATACCAGAGGGAACCCAGGAGAAAGGAAGATTCAGAGATGATCAGTCAATGCTTCAGGCTGGATGCTTGAGGGTTCTGGCAGCCCCCTACTCAACAATGAGGAATTTTGTGGAGGATGTCATCCAGAACCCTGGTCCAGCTGAGCAGGTAGAGTCCAGGTGGTCCAGGAAAGGAGAAAGGAGATTGGCCAAGGGAAGAGATCCAAGATCTGGTGAAAAATTAGCTACCATGTCACCCAGGAATCAGGCCTTTGTGAGGGTTGTGGACTTCACATTTGTTTTCTGAATGTCCCATCTCTGGTTTTCAGATGTGGTGCCGGTGCCGGAGACGCCGACCCGGGCGCCCCAGGTCATCCTGCATCCGGTGACCTCGAATCCAATGTAAGTGGGACAGAGACATCTTCCCCCTTCTCCGAGATTCCCAGCCCTGGCCCTACAATCCACTCCGGTTCCCTATCTTCTTTCCTCCTCTTCCTGGAACTGATGGAGTTGGGGGCAGAGGGAGATGTACAAGGGGTACAGAGAGACACAGGGAATAACTTAGGCAAAGAGAAAGAACATAAGAGCTCAGGCAGAGAGAGGCAGTGCTGTTCCTCACGAGCAGCTATGCCTTGTGTCTCTGCCCCTGCCTGTCAAATGCATTTTCCAGGGGCTGGACCGTTTCCTAAGGACCTATAACACCCCTATGATTAGGAAGACAACTTTCCCCAGGCGATAGTTAGTGCTTAATGAAAGGGCAATTATTCCATGTCACTGAACATGGAATAACTTTTGAAAGTCTCATTTAGGTTTATACCAGGAATCAGCAAACTATAGCCCATGGGACAGATCCAACCTCCTGCTTGTTTTTATATAAAGTTTTATTGGAACACAGCATGCCTGTTTGTTTACAATGTATTGTGCAGGCTTGCTTTCTCAGTGTAACAGCGGAGTTAAGTAGTTGTAATAGAAACTGTAGGGCTTGCAAAGCCAAAAATATTTACTCTATGACCCTTTGCAGAAAGAAATTTGCTAACCTCTGGTTCATATTATTGTAAAACTAATATAAGCTAATTTTAGAAAATTTGGACTATTCTTTAAAAAGGGAAAGGCAAAATAATCGCTCATGATCTCACCACTGTTAGAACTTCTATGTGTGTTCTTTCCATTTATATTTTACATAGTTATGACCCACAAGATATGCAAGCAGTTACCATCCTGCTTTGTTATCTTTTTGCTGAATGTCACATTTTATGAATATTATTTTAGCCTCTCCATAGACATTGTTGGTTCTTGGTTTTTGTTTGTTTTTGAGACAGAGTCTCACTCTGTCACCCAGGGCTGCAATGCAGTGGCACGATCACAGCTCACTGCAGCCTCAGCCTTCTGGGCTCAAGTGATCCTCCCAGCTCAGCCTCCCGAGTAGCTGGGATTACAGGTGTGTGCCACCACACCCAACAAATTTTTTATTTTTTTATTTTTGTAGAGACAGGGATTTGCCATATTGCCTAGGCGGGTCTCAAACTCCTAGGTTCTAGCGATCCTTCCACCTCAACCTCCCAAAGTGCTGGAATTATAGGCATGAGCCACCACACCTGTCCGACATTGTTTTTAATGGCTGTAAAATGACATATGATGTAGAATAATTTTCTTAACCATTTTCCTATTGCCGGATTTTACATTGCTTCCCATATTTCACTGTTGTAAATAATGCTGCAATGAACATCTTTGTGCATAGCATCCTTTGGAAACGGACCCTCTTTCCAGGTGGTTTATTGCTTGTGCAGCAGAAGTGAAGTCACCTTGGCCAGGTGCAGTGGCTCACGCCTGTAATCCCAGCACTTTGGGAGGCCGAGGTGGGAGGATCACCTGAAGTCAGGAGTTGGAGACCATCCTGGCCAACCTGGTGAAACCCTGTCTCTACTAAAAATACAAACATTAGCCAGGAGTGGTGGCACACAACTGTAATCCCAGCTACTCGGCTACTCGGGAGACTGAGGCAGGAGAATCGCTTGAACCCAGGAGGTGGAGGTTCAGTGAGGTGGGATCGTACCACTGCACTCCAGCTGGGCAACAGAGGGAGACTCTGTCTAAAGAAAAAAAAAGTAATAACCACAAAGTCACCTCCTTAACTTCTTTGGTTGTGATGGAAGCCTGGGGCTTCCTAGGATTTGATCAGTTTCCCAACTCACCTTTTGCCTACTTAGTTTTTCTTCTGGGTCCCCTAACTGCTTCATCTTTTCTGACTGGTCTTAAGGACTTTATAAAGACTTACATGGTACATCTCTGAAATCAAAGGAGTAGCAACTTGCCGGGGGATATGGTGCTGACATCTAGCTTCGGATCATTTCTCTGCTTCACATAAACCAATTCTACAATTTGTGCAAGATGAACTCCAGGTTATTAACTGACAGTCCAGAAGTACCAGCGAAAACCAGTCAATAGCTGCTTGCGATCTGCTTAAATGTGTGTGGAGTGATGGCAACTCTTTGCAGAGGGAAATAATTGAATAGCCCTGGCTGCTGGAATCACGCCTTGATGCAGAGAGGAGGGTGGCCTGTTTTGGTTTGGGGCATGAGGAGGGACTCCAGCTGCATTGTCCCAGCCAAGTTCCCCCCAGGGCATCAAGTTCCCAGCATGTCAGCTGTCATTGTGCAGGTTCATTCCACTTTCCCAGGCTGTGCTATGAATAATTGGTTAATACCATGGCAAATGCCACTTTGGGATTGATCTTTCTTTCTCCTTCTTTTAGTTCTTGTGGTCTTTCAGACTCTCTCTCAACAGGACCCCCTCCAGCAAGTGGATTGACTCTGTGGAGCCAGCCACTTCCTGCGATCTGAGGGTCAGGGTATGGGAGGTTCCCCAAATGAGGAAGGGGAAGGGAGGATCCACTGGGGAAATAGGAAAGGAGGAGTGGGGTATTCATTGTGACTCTTTTTTCTCACCTGTCTCAGCTCCTCCATGCCTTCAACAGCCCCATTCTGTCTCCCTGCTGCACTTCAAAAACACGTACACATCCTCAAGTCTAAACCCCACAACATACCTCTAATGCACACTGTGCCCAACATCCATGACATGTCAAATGTCACATGCATTTGACAGTCCACTCACACCTCTAATGCACACCCAATTATACCATCAGCATACAGCATCCCCCTCGACATCCTGTGTGTACACCCAACTCACATGCACACAAGACAGCCCTGCACAAAGCACATCCCGTAATACCTATGCAGTGCTCACACAAACACATTGTGACGCCCTGCCAGCATCTATACCCAAAATGTTTGCTTCCTAAGAACAGAACTGCAGCTCATGAGCTTGTGAATGCATCTCTCTCTCACACACACACACACACACACACACACACGTGTCTTCCAGTTCAGTATAGTCTTTTTATTTTCATTCCACACATCCTCATTCCATGTGATTGGCAAGGCCTACCTCAAACATTGGGAACTTTCAAATACACCCAGTAATTCTCTCGTCTTGGAATTCCCACCACACTCCATTTATCCAATTCATACCTAACTTTTGGCCTTGTTACTTTTAGCCTCTCTGCATAGTATCTACATACTGGCTTTAGTTCCTTCAGTAGGAACACAATATTCCTTAAGGTCAGAAGCCATGCCAGTTTCAATTCTATATCCCTCCAAGGGCCTAACACTGTTCCTGGCACACACATCTATTCAATAGTCGCATGAATGCATGAATGAACAGACAAACAAGAACACTGAGATCCTTCCAACAAATTCCAAATTTGTGTGAACTTCGGAGATCTGATTAATTCTTTCCTGACAAACATATAGAGCTCTGAGGACTTGTCTACCCAGGGCGTTTAGGCCAGTTTATAAGAAAGCTGCTAGATTAGTTGAAACCAAAGCAATAAATAAAAATGAGCCCTGAGCAGCCCGGAAAATCAACTTAAAACAAGGTCCTGGCACACTGTGTTTTGTGTGTGTGTGTGTGTGTGTGTGTGTGTGTGTGGCGAGGTTATGGATTATTTCAGACACACGTGTTGAAATGAAATGTGAGATAAAGGCTTGGTGGTGAAGACTTCCCATCTGGGGATTCTTCATACAAAGCTAAACTCAATATACAGACCTACCTTTTCACCTAGGGATCACGTTTCTTTTTCTTTCTTTACAGCTTGGAAGGAAATCCATTACTTCAAATTGAAGTGGAGCCAACGTCGGAGGTGAGAATCAGAGAGCAGTGTAGCGACATTTTCCAGGGGCTGCCCAGAACTTGGCAAAGCCGACTGACGTTTTGGATGACGCAGAGGGCTTGGGGTCAGATTGGGGCGGTGGTGGCCCTGACCGATGGATGTTCTAACTCTGGGACATTTAGCAAGCGGTGGCCCCTCCTAGCCCTGAGCCTAATGGGCCATTATATGGCATGCATCATGGAAAAGCCAGTTGTGCGGAAATTGTCAAGGGATTTGCATTCTTAGTTGAAAGATCAGCTCACAGCCGGGTGACTACCAAGGGGGATGTGCCCTGCTGCCTTCAAAAGAATATGTGGGAGGAGGTGGGGGCCTCAGGGATGCCGGGCTTGGAAGTGTTGGGAATGCGCTGGGTCTTCTTCCCACCTGCCTAAGCGGCTGCAGAAATACATAAAATGCCCTGGCTGGAAACCTTGGAGTCCTGGCCCCTCAGCTCTGCCACTGCACTGTGTCTTGTACTGAAAGGAATCGAGTCAGGGCTTCCAAGGAAAATCGTGTTCTTTTCTGGGACTGTTTTGGTTGTTGAAATATGATCCTGGGAGAAACTAATGTCTCCTGTATTGTTTCTCCTGAGTGTGCCAAGGGGGGCAGCTTGCTCAGGTATTCTGGGTCAGGAAGACCTGTACCCACTCAAGAGGCTACCTTCTCAGGCTATTTCATCAGGTCCCAGGGTCTCTGGGAATCCCTGCTGGCCCTGGCCCCTGCTGCTCCTACAATTCTGCAGGAGAATCCAAGAGGCAATTCACCCCAAAGCACCCCTAGATATCATGCTGATAAGGTAGGTCCCTACACCTCGAGCATTTAACTCTAGTGGTAGTCACGCCGAAGTATGCCTGAGTCGTGTGGGTGTGCATGGTAAAAATGCAGATTCCCGGTCCTGGCCTGCTGATATTTTGATCCAATAGTGCTAGGTGGGGCCCAGGAATCTGCATTTTCTCGGGCCTCCCACTGGGTGTTTAATACAGGTGGTCAGTTCTGTACTAAGAACTTAACAGGCCTTCATCTAAAACCTCACACTGCTCCTGGGGCAGATTTTCTTACCCCCACTTTACAATGAGGAAAGGCAGCCTCAGGGAAGTAAAGCAACTGGCTCAAGGTCACACAGAGGCGAGATTTCAGCTCGCTTTGTCTGATTGTTAAGCCCATTCTGTCAACCCCTCACTCTCATGTCTCTTACCTTCCCAGCTGCTGTAGGAGCCTCAAACATCTAGCTTGTAGCTCTGACCTCTCCCAATTTTTGAATCATCAATTCCAAATTCCCTGGGGGAAGCAAAAGATACTCCATGTTGGCAGTTGTCACGTGTTACCTGCAGATGCATGGTGTACCCGTTGTTTTAGCCTGTCTAGCCTGTCAACTTTATCACATGCACATAAACAGCCAAACCAAAAGACTATGGAAGAATAGGAAGGGCATCGGATATTCAAGTCCAGAGACCTGAATCTTAGTCTCTCCTCTGCCTGGCTGCATGACCTGGAGTGAGTCACTTCCCAGGGCAACACATGGGACTTTCGGTGCTAAAACCAGGAAGATTCCAGCAAACTGGAATGGGTGATCCCCATAACACTTCTCTCTGAGCCTCAGTATCCCCCCATTTAGCACAAGAGAGGTGGATGATCATGATCTCCCTTTCAGCACCTTCACTGTAGTATGATTCTAGACCAGATTCTAGACCTGGGGAAACAGAGGGACGTGTGTCTGCACCAGCTCCAGATGCATGTAGAGATGTGTCCAGACCTACGCATGCACACGGGACCCAGCAGGACCATGAGGGAGGCTGGGGCAGTGGCAAACCCAATTCTGACCTCTCTCCCACTCCGGCCACAGAATGAAGAGGTCCACGATGAGGCCGAGGAGTCAGAGGATGACTTCGAGGAGATGAATCTGTCCCTCCTCTCGGCCCGGAGCTTCCCACGCAAGGCCAGCCAGACCAGCATCTTCCTTCAGGAGTGGGACATCCCCTTTGAGCAGCTGGAGATCGGTGAACTCATTGGAAAGGGCCGCTTTGGGCAAGTGTACCACGGCCGCTGGCATGGCGAGGTGGCCATCCGGCTGATTGACATTGAGAGGGACAACGAGGACCAGCTCAAGGCCTTCAAGCGGGAGGTGATGGCCTACAGGCAAACGCGGCACGAGAACGTGGTGCTTTTCATGGGCGCCTGCATGAGCCCGCCTCACCTGGCCATCATCACCAGGTCAGTTCCACCTGGGCTCCCACCCAGGGATTGGCAAACTCTGCTTCTGGCATGGTTGAGAAATGGTTTTCTGCTTACCTGACCGCTCTGGTTAATAGACCATCTCCAGTTCTACCATGTACAGTTTACTTACATGGTTTAAGACTTAAGATTCCAGAAAATACTTAATTTATTTATTTGTTTTTTTAGAGACAGGGTCTCCCTCTGTTGCCCAGGCTTAAATGCAGTGGTATGATCATAGCTCACTGCAGCCTTGAACTCCTGGACTCCAGAGATCCTTTTGCTTCAGCCTCCCAAGTAGCTGGCACTACACGTGTGTGCCATCACACCTGGCTCATTTTTTATTTTTTTGGTAGAGATGAGGTCTCACTATGTTGCCCAGGATGGTCTCAAACTTCTGGCCTCAAGCACTCCTCCTGCCTTGGCCTCCCAAGTGCCGGAATTACAGGCCTGTAAGCTACCATGCCTAAACCCAGAAAGTACTTTTAATGCTAAAACTCTTTAGCAAAACCAAAGAGTACTAAATGGAGAATCAGAAACATCGGGTCTTGCTCCCCCTGTATTCCAAGTATTTGTGTAACAGCTTCTCAAAGAGTCACTTTCTCCATATGTGAAATGAGTATATTCGACTAAATCAGGAGTCAGCCAGCTTTTTCTGTAAGGGGCCCAATAGTAAATATTTTCAGCTTTGTGGGTTGTACAGTTTCTGTAGCAGCTACTCTGCTCAGCCACTGTAGTCTGAAAGCGGCTATAGACAATCTGCAAATGAAATTGCAGAGCTGTGTTCCAATAAAAGTTCGTTTACAAACCCGGGGAGTGGGCTGTATTTGGCCCATGGGCCATAGTCTGCAGACCCCTGATTAAGATTTTTTTCTTTTTGAGATGGAGTTTCACTCTTCTTGCCCAGGCTGGAGTGCAATGGCGCGATCTCGGCTCACTGCAACCTCCACCTCCCGTGTTCAAGCGATTCTCCTGCTTCAGCCTCCTGAGTAGCTGAGATTACAGGCATGCACCATCATGCCCGGCTAATTTAGTATTTTTAGTAGAGACAGGGTTTTGCCATGTTGGTCAGGCTGGTCTTGAACTCCTGACCTCAGGTGATCTGCCCGCCTTTGCCTCTCAAAGTGCTGGGATGACAAGCATGAGCCAACATTCTGGTAACTATTATTCTGGTTTTCATGAAAGTTGCAGAGCACATTTGCAGTCTTTACCATTGTAGTTTGGAATATCCAGGATCTGTGGTCTTTGGGTATACAAAAGTGATAGTTCATAGAGAACTAACATTGTGAAAATGTTTCTTGAACTTTCTCAGATTTGCTCTCTGGCCTCTCCCAGAGGCTTAAGGCACTGGGGGAAAAATAGCTTTGGTTTTGATGAAACAGTTGTGAAACAATCCTTTGGTTTGTTTTCAAACTCTGGCACTGGCTCCCCTGTAATGTTAGGACTGGCCTCTGCAGTGGCATTCTTAGTATGATCTGTGATGCCAAGGGCCCGTTAGGAGCTCTCTCCTTCCTCTACTCAACTCAAGCAGTGAGACCCCAAATGCACAAGTCTTGCATCTTAGCAGGCCCAGAGCAGATGCTGTGGGCTCAGAGAAGAGCTGGTGTGTCTTCGATCTCCTCCCTTGTGAGACAAAACCTCCTTGAGTCCACTTATAAGAACTTGGTGATTGTTAGAAGGTGCATTGTATTCTGTATCCGTAGATAATGCGGATGGTGGGTTGACCGGAGTGACTCGTGCTTTGAATGATAAGCGCTGGTGAAAGATTGGGGATCTAGGGATGGGCCTCCAAGCCTCCTTAAATCAGGATAAAAATGGTGGTTCTCAATGCTGTACAAGGCAGAGAAGTGGCTCTGAAGAAATCAGCCCAGGAATCTTCAGGGGCTGAGCTGTTTTGAGTGTAAGCTTTTGCTGAGTAACTACGCCACAACTTGGTGGTTTCTCTGTATCCTATGGACAGTTCTGGGCTTAGCCAGACTGAATAGCTGGGCTCTTGTAGTTGGTTGTGGTCAGCTCTGGGTCAACAAGGGGATAGTCAGTCTTAGATGCCCTCCTTTGTGTGTCTGCTGGTTGGCAGACTGTCAGGGGATATCCCCAACAGCCTAGCTCAGGCTCATTCTCATGGCGGTCTCAGGTTTCCAAGTGCAGCGAGAGGTCAAGACCTACATCTGTTGGCCAAAGAAACTCCTATTCTCCCCCAGATTCTAGGCATGGAGACACAGCCTCTACTTCTGAATGGGAAGATCTGCAATGTCCCGCTGCAAGGATGTGGCTGCAGGTTGGGGACAATCTGTGGCTATTTTTGCAATCTACTACAGAGAGACCTTAGCTCCCTTTCCTTCCCTTTCTTACCCAGTATATATCCTCATCTTTTAGCAGCAGTCAATAGCCTATTACTTGGGATACACAAGTCTGGTTGAAGGGTGATCTTTTCCCCCCCCTGGCCTTCTCTCTATTGCTCCCATCTTAAGCTCTTATCCCGTCTTTCTCTCTGGTCAGCTCCTCACCACCCTCCTGCCTCCTGGTTCAGCATTATCTATGGAGCCTAATCCCCATGGCTCCCTCACCCCCTCCTCAAAGGCTAGCAAGTTGGAAATAGACAAACTCAGCAGCCATCCTTGAAAAACGAGTGGTCATTATGAAAATGTGTTGCTCATCCTGCAAGCCAGCTGCATTTGCGGCCCTCTTCTATTATGTACAAAATTCTGAGCCCCCCTCCCCAAGCGCCATAACTGCCTACAGATTTCACAAATAGCCCAGCCTTTTCCTGGCACCACGATAAAGACTCTGCAGCTTTGGGACGTGTAATTGGTCTCTGAAGTGTTTTGGTATTTTGTGTGAGGATGCCAGATGAGCCCCAGAGAAGTGGCATTGATTCCATATTATTGTGTTGTTATATATTTATCTTCGGGAGGGCCTCTGTGCATCCCTCTCTCTGTTCAGCACTGTCCACTTGTTGGCTCTCCAGGTTTCTTATCTGCACGTTCAGTTTGAAACCAAATATTTGAGTAATTTGATTAATCACTTGCATTCGCATGATTGGCTGGCAGAGGTTGATGGCTGGACGATAGCCAACCAACTGGAACCATTTTTGGACCCTAGATTTATTTTACAGGGAACATAAGACCAGATAATTACCTGGCATATTCTGGATCAATTCACAATGGCACATTCTAGCCAATTACTTAGTAATTATCATCGAAGTTAACAAGTATTTCTAAGATTAGCTTCCTTGCAATGCAATATGTGTGGCTCTTGGGGAATGAGTAATAACCAACTAGTTACCCAATTGCTGTAGCCACAAATGCTATTAGCAGCAGGATTGCTAAATTGTTTCACAATTGGGTCATTATGGGATTATTGCAAAGCTATTGACAGTCTGCACAATCACTCATGTGAAAAACTCCAAGTGAAATCTGAAAGCCAATAGAGTTGAGTGAAAGTGTCTCTCACCCTTCTACCTTGCTATCTAGAGTTTCACAGGCCTCAGTTTCTCCTTCTGTAAAATGAGCAGGGGGAAGCGAATGTTTGTTGCAGTGTCCTGCCAACTCTGACAGTATTCTTTGCTTGTCTGATAATGAGCTGTGTTTGAGAAGCAGCTGGGAACAGGTCTGGAACAATGCATCTCAAAGATGGTGTACCTGGACCTTCCTGCACCAGAGTCATAGGAGAAGAAAGTTGTAAAACTGCAGATTCCAGAAAAAAGACTGTGGTGGTGGCAGGTGAGGGCAAAGGGGAGAAGGTGAGGGTAGAGAAGCTGTCAGGAGCACGACTGGAGAGAGCAGGGGTTCTCAAGCCTGGTGGAGGAAGGGGAGCTTTTAATACAGTAACGGTGCCTGGCCCTGCCCTAGAGCGGAGTCTGCCATCTTCAGCACTGCTGATATTTGGGGTGAGAAAAGCCTTTGTGGTGGGGGCTGTCCCATGCACTGTAGGGTGTTTGGTAGCACCCCTGGCCTCTACTCACTAGATGCCAGTAGCACCAAGCCCCAAGGTGTGACAACCAAAAATGCCCCCAAGACATTGTCCAGAGTGCAGGGGACTCTGCACTGGCAAACTCTGTGTTATGAAGGTCACCATATTAGGGTTGCCATTTTGACAGTGGGTGAGGCTCTGAACCAGCAGAAGCCAAGCCATGCTAGGTGACATAGCTGAGCCTTTTTGCTGAAATCAGTTCCCTGGTTGTGGGGTAGAACCAAGACAGAGCCCTCAAAAATAAACCAAAAAAGCCGCAGATTCCAGCAGCTTTCAGCAAGTGCTTTTCTTCAGGCCAGGCACGATGAGGTTCTCCTGTTTATCCTTGTGCCTATTTTACAGGTGAGAAAACTGAGGTCAGAAAGGCAGGGGGAACCCTTGCCCAAATCATGGAACAAATAACTGGCAGAACTGGGAATAAGCAAATGTCTATCTGAATACTAGTCTAGTAGTAGGTTCCTTCTTTGCCAATGGCTGCCTTAGCTAGGTCAAGGGGAATGGGCTTCATCTGCGAGCACTTTTGTGGCACAGAGATTCTGCATTTTTGGTCATATCACAATCACCTGGAGAAATTGGTAACAATTCAGGGCGGAGGCCCCATCCTACTTCAATTAGCTTGGACCTCTATCCTTTTTAGTAAGTACCAGAGCATTTTGTTCACGCCACAGTTTAAGAACCACTGGCTTACTAGAACTGAGTTTCATTTTTGTAGCTTTGATTTTCTGGTGTTTATATGCTTCTCCAATACCCTATAAATTCCTGTGGCACCAGCATAACCATGCTCAAGCACACGTGCACACACACACGTACACACACACACGTGCACACACACACACGTGCACACACACACACTCGCTCCTCTTCCATATAAACCCTAAATTACACGCCAATTATCTTCTTTCTCTCCTGTTCTCTTTCCCGCGTCCCCTCAGAGAAATGCACATACTCTATCTTTCCCTGTAAAACTCATTCCACAAATATTAGCAAGTCACAAAACTGCTCTGCAGAACTCACAGAACATACAGTCT